ACAAGACTGCCAGGTGAAAAGGCAGACAGTAAACAATGGCACAATGCCTCTGCATCGTGCTCTGCACTGAACCCTGTTGCCTCCATGCAAACCACAGATTATATTCAATACCAACGTTTTTCAAATTCTGTCTTTTTGCAATATTCAGCTGGACTCCCACAATCACGAGATCATACGAGAATCCCTGCCAGGCTTCAAGCTATGCGCTCGTGTCCAAACCACAGTGGTTTTCACCAATCAGCGTCCTCTGAGAAACTAGTGGCGGCTACGGCATGAGCTACAGACGTGGTTTAACACTGGTGGCTGCTAAAGAGGTTAGCGTAGCTGCTGCTAGCATCAGTTATATCAGAACTGGAGAGTATTTCTTCACTGAAAGAAGAACAAAGAACGGCACGATACTGAAGGCTTTTCTTGATGGAAAAGACGATTTTCACTTTTCTCTTGACTGACTTCAGTAAGAGTTTGATTACATTATATGGTTTGTCACCTGTCATAGACAGATGGTTCATCCAATCATCTGTCAAGTATTTTTTGAAAGTGCCTACCCTTTTCCAATCAGTTTCCAACAATGACTTCTCAAATCAACTGGCGCAATCAGGTTACAATATCTGCAGATACTGCAGTATGGTTGAGGACGGTAGTTCTGGCAGATTGACTGTGGTTTAGGTTCAGGTTGTGCACCTAAAACACCAAGCTGAGTTTAGAGAAAGGTTGCAGTTATAATTAATAAAAAGGCAAAAGTTAATTACAGGTCTATGACGGTGGTGGATGCTCTGGTGCATCCAACCCCCCGACCTCCACACCCTTCTTTCAGATGTTCTAGAGCACACAGTGAACATTAGCATTGGACAAAAATTGTAAGGAGCTGAATTGTTCAATATGAATGTAATTCCTGCACACTGATGCACACAAGTTGTATCATTGTTCGTGTCTAGAAGCCTCAGGAGACGCAAACAGACAAGAATACAATGCAGACACAAGCAGTTTAAATGTTTAGTTTTTCCCCACACTTGCCAAAATCATTCAGGTGAAATAGAAATGAAAGAGGCCTCTAAACGCAGTATCTGTGAGTATTTTTTTTTACCCATGAGCCACTGATAGACTTCATCCTTAAACACGCTGCAAGAAATAAATGGCCATAAGAAACAGAAACACTATTCCAATTCCCATGGTGCAACAGCTTTCTAGGAATCGTTTCCATGTTTATTGAACAGAAACAACAAATCAGAAGTGGTTCCATATCAGCAATCTCACATGTGTACTGCTTATTTGCATGATGAGATAAAACAAGCGTTCCTCGTGACTGTTCAAGCGTACAAAATGTGATGAATAATGCACCGCCGCTTTGGCCCAAAGGCAGGAAGCTTCGAGGGAAAAAACGCGACTGAGAAACATCTGTCACCAAGTCAAACAACTGCAAGATACAAGACAGGTACAAGACTCCAGGTGCAGGAACGTCGGTAGGCAAAGAACACACACAAAACGCCTGCACACAGTCTACACAGATTTAAACTAGAACTGCACGTTACGAGAAATTTCACTTAAAAATTAAAGACATTTTTGAGGAAATCTTTAAAATTACTGCATCCTTGCTGTGTAACTGTCCACTCTGGATAACATGACAATTAGTTTTCTGCTATTTAATAAGAGGATACTGCGGCTGCATATGCATTAAACCATGATACCAATAGATAAACACAAGCGGTGTGTTTATTATTCCTCCGTCAAGGCCCCCAGCGAACCACTTGGTATAAAAAAGTACTCAATGTAAGAATCTGTACCCTGAGTTTTGCAGACTGTGCATACAGTTGAATAATTGATGCCCTGAAAGTAACTTTTCCTCCAGGATATAGACATTGTTACACAATCTGCATCAGGCCAGCAGAGGCAGAAAGAAAGTCTTTTGTGATAAATTTGCAACTTTTGGAAAAACAAATCTCCCTAAACAGACTCGAAAGGTTTAATCCTTAAAGATTTAAGAGTTAAAGCATGGCCACAAGCTGTAAAACAGCACATATACACAAGTATTAATCTCCATCCTTTTCCACTGGAAGCTGCTCACATCTTAAACCATCAGAAGAGCACTGATAGGATCTGTAACTTTAGATCTACAAAAGCTCCATTAGTAAGATGACATCAAACGACCAATTAACAGTAGTAATAGAAATTCTCTCTGACGCGCTCAGAAAAAGCAAGTCACGATCGCATGTAGATCCTGCTGTGTTCATGCCTCTGTGCACTCTTTAGTCAAGTCAAATTTATTCCTATAGCACATTTAAAGACCACATGACCTAACCAAAGTGCTTTATGAACAGATAATTAAAATCATTTATACCCAAGCAGAGAGCAGGATTAAGTCTTAATGATAAAGTAATGCAAAAAACTAATAAAACAGCCATTATAAAAGGCCAATTAGTAGTACCAAGTTCATTCAAAAGTCAAAGAAAAGAGGTGAGCCTTGAGCTGTGAACTTTGAACAATCACCCCTGAGCTTCTGCAGAGGCCGAGGGACGACCCGAAGTTACTGGAGTGACCGGTGGGCTACGCAATGTCAGATAGGTAAGATGGAGCCAATCCGTGAAGTGCTTTGTAGACAGATATTAAGCTCTAAAACTGGCGTTGTTGTTCAAGATATTCCACTGCAGGAGTCTCAAGCTGCTTTTCTGTTTGTTTCATATTGATTTAAATGACCATTTCATATTCAATTAAAATAAATTAAAAAAACAAATATGATGCAAAATAATGTCAAAGGTGTGCAAATTTCTATACTGTGTCTGCAACAAAGAAGTGGTTAAAGTTATAGAAAGGATTGTGGTTGTAGCAAATAAACTATTGTTAGGGTTATGCAACTTGGTAGTGATTAGAGAGAGATTGTAGAAAGAAAAGAGCATTATTTGCAAGTCTGGGATGGGACACAATCTCCAGTCTCAGTGTCACGAAGGTCATTTGTGATGCTGCGTAACAGGCTGAAAGATGTGATGAAGCCTGATGAGGTGACTGTGTGAACAATTATTCCTCTTGAAATGCAAAATATTGAAGCGTTTTGATTTGAAGTGAATTTTATCACACAAGACGAGTGAAATCCATATCTTTTATGCCTGTTAACTGTAACACACAAGCTGTGTGTTCAGCCCTCTCGCTGTTAACCTTTAATATCTTATCGCTCATTTCTTCCGATAATTCCTCAGATTAACCGCAGGGAGTACAGTTTGCCATTAATCATGTGTGTCACATGCTCTCTTCTATTATTCTCATCAATTTTCTGCAGCTTTATCGTCAGTATGGTGTCGCCTGCTGTGCAGAGTGAAACACTGTAAAAATGGATTCAATCAGATTCTCCAGTTAACAGTCTCCATTAAGTCTTTGGGAATATTTCCATAAAGGAAGGATCAATAATGAAAAAAGTTTGTGGTGTCACACCTTGAAATGTCCTAATGGCAACTTTATTTGTTAGGGGACTTAATAGATTAGATACTTAAGCAGTAGTTGATATTAGACAGCAGGAGTGCAGTGGTGATGGCCAAGCAGAATAAGCATTGGGAAAGTTATTCTTGTGGCCTCATATACTCCAAATACCATCCCATACTGGGATTGTCTACATATTTCACACACGTGCATGTTCAGCTGAAAAGACTGTGAGTGTAAAGCTGAAAATATAGAGGATAAATAAAGTGCAAAGGGTTTATTTTGGTCCAATAAAAAGTCACGAAAAGCCCTACAGGTATTATTTATTAACTTATTATTAAGTCATTTGTGTTTGCAGAAGTCAGGATTCTAAAAAGATTTGTTACAGGAGACATTTTGACATTATCACATTTGAAAAGATGTAAATAACTGAATGAACAATGGCTGACATGGCCAACTGGGACACTTGAATTGAACCGAGCAATCATTAATGCTATTGGTAATCCCTGTGCTTTTCCTTCCTCGATTTACAGATTTCCTGGAGTTGTTTGGTCAATAAAATGTCAGAAAATGTTGTCCCCAAAGCCCAAGGTGACATCCTCAAATGTATTGTTTTGTCCACAACCCAAAGATATTCAGTGTCACTGGGTCATTGAGGACTGTTTTCTTCTTAAGAGTGACTTGTTTTTCCTCCATCCGTTCACACAGAGGCACATCGCTATGGGCAAGAGTGTCGGGGAAGAAACAGCTGGTGCGTCTGTGGAGCGAGCAGCCGGCTATCGTATGATCACGGGAAAAAGCGGATTGAGGCAGAGCTAATTGCCAGCACAGTAAACTGCATCAAAACAGGAAGACAGTGCTAATAAAGCCCTCCTCTTTGTTTGATTGGCTGTCTGGGCCAATTGTGACATTGACTAGCGGCACCTTGCGCTTAAAAGTTTAAAGTATTTGAACTTTTATGCCTGTCTAGAAAACAACACAATGCACGGCGCACGAGAGGAGCGCACACCAAGCGCGCCGCGCCAAAGGGCCACAATGGTTCTTCAGGCGACAGGGAGGATGATCTCATCAGTGTCAGCTTCTTTTGCCCTTTAATCTGTCTTTTACTCTTAAAGGACTTTTTTACTTTTTCACTTTTACTCGAGTAAAGAAGTTGAATCAGTACTTCTACTTTTACCGGATTTCTTTCTTCACACAAGTATCTGTACTTCCGCTGGAATAAAGAATGTGTGAACTTTGGCCTCCTCTGTATGCACTTGAATAAATGAGGCACCATCTTGTTCATCCTCTGGGAGAGCGAATGTGCTTACACACACTATTCACCGTGTATGAGAGGACATTTTGGCCTGATATTAGCTGAGATGAAAGGTCACCATCGGCTTGGGATTCGACTACATTCTGTAAAACTTTCACAGCTTCAAGCGTCAATGTATCATATTTCTTTTCATCTATAACCCACTGCATAGCATCAGAGTGACATCTACTGAATGACTCTCCAAAATGCACCAAAAACACAACAGCAGACACTGAGTGGCTCCCAGCGAGCTGCCACCACGGCACAGTTACAGCAACAAGCGGCTGTGTCTCGTACTTACATCCCACCATCATCATGGCCACAGAGAAGATCTTCTCCCCGTCCGTGGTGGGGGCGATGTTGCCAAAGCCAATGGTCGTCAGGCTGGTCATGGTGAAATACAGAGAGGTGATGTACAGAGAGTATTTTCCGGGGCCGCCCTCCCATTGGCCAGAACCGCTGGCATTGAAGCGGTAAGGAGACCCGATGCCGATAGCCAGCTGGTAGAGCCAGCTGTCCATCTTGATCTTGTTGGTGGCCTCGTCGATGACCTCGTAGTCTCCGATGCTGTACCTGTTGAAGACAAAGTCTGATCTTTAGTTTACCAGCTTAACCAAACTGAGGTCTGGATAAGAGAGATCGATCTTTGTGTTTATTGAGGGCAAAAAATGAAACGTGGTAGCACTCTAAGCCATTGTCAGTGTAATACAGTCAGCAGAAATGGCCATTTATAGAGAGCCAACAACACAATCAATATCAAACAGTTTCACAAACAGTATAACTGATGATCTAATGCAGTCTTTTTGGAGTCTATGGAGTATGGGGCCTTTTATCTTTGAGTGTAACTGCTCCTAACTGTTGTCATTTTACTGCAGCCATTTATTATTAGTGTTATTGTTGTATTATTGTTATTTTTTGTAGGTTTCATTGATTTATCTGGGTTAACAGTAAAATATAAATGGGTAATGCAGTGATTTTTAAAGTGGGGCCTCTAGTGGGAAACAACAAAAAAAGTTAAAAAAAAAATCTAATCACTCATCCTTGACTTTTATTATTATAAAATATAATTTATAACATATAAGCTCAAAATCTTATTGGCCATGTCAATCTGTCTAATTGCCTGACAGTCAAAACATCATTCATCACATAAACTGTCAGTATATCCACAACACTGTCTCGTCGGCTCGTGTTTATTATAGACACGTTTTTGGATCCATTATTGAATCTAATGTAATGATTAAATATTTGAAATACAAATGTAATAAATATTGCATTAATAAAAAGGAAGGAAATATATTCAGAAGTTGTTGTGTTTTATTTTATTTTTACATTTGCTGCAGTATTGGCCTTTGCACTGAAGATCTAATGTGTCCCTGAATGTAGGCCAACGGATCGGGACTAATAAAGGCATTGTTTTCTTGTTTTTCTCATGTCTACAGTCATACCTCCTTCATTAGCAGAGGCCATTTATGGGCGGCTCGTTCACGGACACATGAGATCATGCAATAATAATTAGAATTACACTTAATTTGATCATGCAATTATGTGTTTTAACCCTCACCTGTCTCTAAATGACCATTTCTGCTGATGTTATTGTGCTGATGAAAGCTTCAATCTGAAACAAGTTTGTTTTGTGACTACAGTAAACCGAGCTCTGATTCACTGTTATAGGTTTGGAGCTGTGTGAACTCTTATGGTACAGACACACTGGATCCATTGACCGATGACAAGGGGACGGATCTTATTCACTGTCTACGGAGCGCAGGAGATCAGGCTTTGCGTTGCATGATGGATACGCCACAGCGAGTTAACTGACCTTCGCTGTATCTGGATTTGCATAAAATCAAGATTCTAGTTCTACATCATCCATTTCTCGCTTCAAATGTTTCCAGAAACACATTTCTGTTCAGCCCTAATATGTAAAAGTTTGTCTGCCCGCCGGAATTGCAGGAATTAAACACTGCTGCCACCAGACTGTGGAAGAGTTTGCCTCATTATAAGATGTTCTCTATTTATTCTAATTATTTATTTTCTAACTTTAGCTTTATTTTTTGCCTGTATAATATGATACAGATAGAGTTTTTAACACCTTTAAAACATTTTTAACACCAGTTTAAAAACTGACTCATACACTAATAATATGCAACCGCAAACACATTCTGGGTAGTAACACAATACCATCTGGATTATTTGTATGTACATTTATATGCAGATCCTTCCTACAGTATCCACTCATAGAGACTAAAGCATGATAAACTTGGGAATTTAGTTAAGATTAGGGAAAGATTGTTGTAATAAATACTGAGTTGGAGCGAGAGCCAGGTCGGGTTTCAAGATTTAACAAGTTACCAAAATCATAATCTTAGGCAATTGTTACCACTAAACGTAATCCAGGCAGCAAATAATGGCGTTTCTCAGTCCCTGCCCAGCATTTCTACAACAACAGGGCTACTCGCATGAATGAAGTAATTTAACACGACTCAAAGCGAACATGAAACAGTAAAATAAAGCAGATATCTGAACGTACAAACAGGGACGCAGGAGAGAAACTTCTGACCACAGAGATTCAGATGTATAGTTTGACTCAAAATATAATTCGACAAACTAATTAGCAGGATGTAAATGAAATGAAACAAGGTCTCCTGACTTGTGCTAAAACTTGTTTCCCAGTCAGTGTTTCTCATACACTGATTTATTTGTGGGGGCGCGCCGTAATATCAACACTGATCGCCACACATTGATTTTATTTGTATTTTTAATATTTAAGATGAGTAAAATCTTCTGTCACTGTAGAGCTGCGTGTTGATTCTCTTGGAGCTCCAACTCTTCACATAAGTTATTAGCAAGCATATAGGGAGTCTATCTAGTAAATATAGTTATATTTTGTTATTTCTTTGACACCAGGTACTTGACAAAAATAATAATTACTTAAAATGCCTTAATCCTTTCATTATTTATGCACACATCCCCTCACATATGCTCAGGGTGCTTTAAATCTCTAAATATAATACCTTTGAAGATTATATAATGGATCACTTAAGTAAACTTTAAATATGGTTATTAAAACCATCAATCATTAATGTAAGAGCAGACTGAGGACAATAAACAACATTCAGGGCTTCACTTTGGTCCGTCGAGGCTCGTATTCAGTTATTAAGGTAACTTACTTTATGCACTTTCATCTTAATATAAGAAGTTAATGCAGCGTTGGAGGTTTAAAATTAAGGTGTTCTGTTTGCCAATTTATGTGAACTCCGTAGAGCAGTAATGTATGAAAACACTGCTGCTCTGTTTATGTTGGTGCTATTTGCAATTAAGGAATGATTTAAAAAGGGTTGGGGTTTCTTTGGGGTGGCAGAAATCGTTTGCTATCAGGCATAAAAAAATGAACATATCAGCCGATGTTGCATGACTTGAAGGAAATTAAACAACACTTGTAGTGAGCAGAACAGCAGCAGATGCTTTGTAATGTACAGATGGGGGGGGGGTAGCATACATAACCAATTAGGAACAGTTGAAAACGGGTAAATTCCCAGCAGCCAACAGGAGCTGTTGAATGGCACTAAACTGTCAGCAAAATGAGAGTTCTCTCAGTGGCTGTGAAACCCATGAAAGAAAAAAAGATCAGTTTACCAGATGCAGGCGAGCCAGTGAGCCACCAGTCCGAACACGCAGACCAGCAGGACCAGAACAGCAGCACCGTACTCCAGGTAGTGGTCCAGTTTCCTGGCCACCCGGCCCAGACGCAGCAGGCGGACCACCTTCAGGGAGCTGAAAAGACTGCTGATGCCCTGAGGGGGAGGACCAGGTGGGGGGAGACGAAGGGAGGAAGAAACTGGGGTTATTACAGGTCAAAGTGAAGCCCAACAAAGCCCCCCCCCGTAGTTACTGTTGCCATGCTCCCCGTTCTATATCTGCACACATACAGTTAACAATGATGACGATGAAAGATTTATCATCAAAATTCTTAATAAAAACAATGAGACAAAAGCAAAAATGAGACAGTCAACAGACTGTTGATGGCAGCTTGTGCCTGAAACTAGTTTGTTAATTTAGTTAAAGTTGAATGAAAATTCAGCATTCAGGCAGAAAACAAGCAGCAGCTGTGGAGGCAGTACGGTATCATGAGGAGAATGTAAGAGAAAATACTTTATCATAGTACAGTATTAGAAGAAACATGTAAGTGTATTATAAGAAACATATTAAAAGAACATTAAATTAAATGTTATTTGGTTCTAATGTAACCCTGTTTGGATGTTTACTATAGAAAAATATATGAATGAGAACATGAGTACTTTTGTCCACCAAAAAAACATTAAAACATTCCTAAAAATACAGCTCACATACACAGGTCTATACTATAAAAAGGTCCTATTAAAGGTCATCTAGAGTCAGAAGTTTTCGTCCAAAATTGTCGCACGTTTAAAAATAAATACAACCTTTATCAGCAGGTGAAACTCTCCTTATTCTTTACACTTTTAGCCCCAAAATTTCTACTTTCTAGTGAGAGGACCACACAGCTTTTAAAAGCATATGAAACATACAAACTTGGTGAGCAAAGGCCTCAACGCTAACCTCGCGAGTGTGTAGAAGAACCAACATTGGCCATTAAACCTTCCTTCAAATACAAAAGTCCCTTTCTAGAGTCAGTTTAGTTTGTCCGCTCTGGGCTACTGTAGAAACATGGCGTTTCAACATGTTGGACCTGCTCCAAAAACACACAATACACTACTGAAAACACACCTATGAATATTATATCCCATTTCTAATAACATCTCCAATAACAGACAAACACTGCAGCAGCAATTAACAGTTTTTTTTTTTAAAAAGCCATCGTAAAAGGATTATGTAAGAGCTACACAAGGGAGGAATTAAAGTAAGCGAGTAAAAGTGTACGACGACAACAACAGTGTGTTCAGTTTGTATTCAGTCCACCCACAAACCCATGGTTCCATTTAAAAACAATGCTTTTTATTCAGCCTCTAAAGAAAACTACCAATACTTGTAATACATAAAAGAATCTCTCTGCACAAACACTTTAATGAAAAGGTGTTAGAATGATAATATCTGTGCCAGAAGCTTCATTTTGCTTTATTTCTCAGTGAGTAGATTCTTCATTACTGAGGGCTTTGCACCAAAATTACTTCTCAAAGACATTTTGTCCTCGTTATGCAGCTCTTAAGCTCAAAGGGAAACCAGAAAAGGTCTCACAAATAAACAAAGACAGTTCATGTTCTTCTGATACACAATCAGGAAGTTAACCTGTTAAAGTGTCTTCAGCATAAAACTTTAAATTTAAATAACATTATAATAAAACTTTGGACAGACACTTCCTCCAGACTTCTATCATGTCGGATCAGTTCCAGGGGCCCGGGATGATAAACGCCTCAAACAACAAAACACAGCTCAGAGCTCAACGTAAAGCAAACAAAGCCGCCCTCATTACACTGTCCACTGTCACATTTGGGAGCATAGACGAGCATCAAGTTGCCTAAAAACACAATGAGCAACAAGTTGTTTTAGTTGCATGCATTAACCATCATGTTCCACACACAAAGACTCTGGGGACAAAACCAAATATGACGCGTCCTCTAACCTTTCATTAAAGCACTATATTATTACAGAAGACAGCCAATGAACAGCTGTCTGACAGAGTATAACCACAGCTTACGGTCTGTTCTGGGCGAGCCTGGTGCCCATACAGGAAGCAGGAATTGTGAAGGGAACAGACGTTGAGCAGAGTGTTTCTTTATCTGTCAGGATCGCTGGCTGTACACTGAAGGCCGATATCTGGAACTGGAACAACCTGTTGCAGGTGTTATGAATATTTTCCATCATCGCCTCTCGTTCTTCAGCTGCTCCAAATGTTCAGGTTCAGTTTTTAAAAATAATAAAAATGACATATACAATGATCCTGATACTTATCTCCTGATACTTAATGTACTGACTGAGTCTGGGCTCAGATACCAAGACTGATAATGGTGCTGATGTCGTCACAGTAGAGGACTGTGATCAGAACGGCCCGGAGCGTCAACAACACGTCGTATTCTCGGCCTTCTTTTACTCGTCAGTGCGTATGAATGGGACAAAGTCAATAAACAGCACCGCTTCTCCTTTCAGCAGTGTTACTGTACATGCTGGTGGTTGCCGGGAATTTCTCACAATAAAACTCACTTATACAAACACACACACACACACACACACACACACACACAGAGAGAGAGAGAGAGAGAGAGAGAGAAACCTGGAGGCCATTTGGTTCACAAACTACCACCTGTTGAACACTATAAAACTAGCTATCCTTAAGTAAAATTATAAAAGGTTTTTACACATAGTTTGAGAACATTACATGTATATATCTCTGGCTACTCAACAGCCTGGGAGCCCGGTGGTTTGATGGCAGGTCCGTGGAGTACAAAGACGATGAAGTCCCATTCTGTATAATGGGTTAACTATGAAATACAGAGCTTTTGGCTCATTGGTTTTAGTTTAAAACGCCGGCATTACGTTTTGGTGTAAAACATCAATACTGCTGCTCCTGCATGGGAGAAATACTGCGAAATACAGAGATTCACCTGCTGCTGATAGGCTTAATCAGCGTTGTGTGAACTCTTTAAGAGCTTGTATGTAACAGACAGCCTGATAAAGTTTTACCAGCACAGCCTAAATATGAATAGATGTGCCAAAATAGCTTCAGTATTGAAAATAAAAAAAACACTTTTTGCTCCTGTATCATATCATAATATCAGTTCAATGCATTATATAGTTGCTAAAAAGCTAAAAGAGACAAAATAAACCTAAAAATCCAAATAACTCACATTCACTTACTAAAGAGCAACACATATTGGGAAGAGGTTGAATATTACTACCTTGTTTAACATCACAAAGAGCCTTTCCACAGTCTGTAGTCCCTGACAACATTTTCACTGCATTACTTTCCTGCCCCGGTGCCGCTGACCCATGTCCTCCACAGGGCCTGTTTATACCCAGTTCTATACCACCGACTTCCCCAAACACAGCCAGCTGAGAAAGAGGCTCAAAATAAACAAAAGTGATTGTTTTCAACCACAGGAGCAGCAGCCAGGACCCCGAGGCGTCGGCACGCTCTGCACGATCCGTTTTAACACAATTAACAGAAGCCGAGCGTTCAGAGCAGCAGCGTTCAACCTGGAGCCAAATATTTACCAACATTAAAAAGTATAATAATTTTCTCATTTTGCAGCATAGAGAGGAAAATGGTGGATGAAAGCCAGCAGGGTTATCTAATGATGTAGGCGATGATGTTATGTAACAAAGAGGGAGACTGCTGAGGCCGAGGCGAGTTGCTCTCAGCTCAGCCTTCACCTCCATCCTGACGCTCGTGTTCAGCCTTGACCTCCTCCATCGTGAACAGGCTCCATCCAGCCCCTGTTCCTCTTATCCTCTTATCCCCAGTAACTGAGCTGAGCTTCTCTTGTTTAGCTCCATATGAGGACTCGATTTGACAAATTCTACCCTCTCTTGGAGGTAGATCTGTCCCAGTGGTTTCTGCAGCTCACTGGGTTTTCTCAATAGTCGTTCTGAAAACGATGCCAGTGATTCAGCACAACCCTAAACACAACATAACCCTAACCCTCATTCTTTTGCAGTTTTTTATCCCTTTCAACAACATTTTCAGTGCTATTTTGTTAGCATTAAGCTAGCTCCGGGTTTCACAGAGACGCAGTTAGGCAGGTGATTAGGAGTACCTCACCAGCACTGCTGTTGGCGGGGTTTTAAACAATACTGAGGTCCAAAAACTGAACCTGCTGGGCGGGTTTGGGGACATCAAAGCATCAATAGAGTTATTGTAAGGCAATTATTTCAGGGCTTTATTGCATATCCCTCAGAAAAAATGTCCATACATGGTGACCTCAGTGGAGGGTTCACAGTATGAAGTAAGGGTACTCATGTGGACAAAAATCAGAAGTGCTGGTACTCAGTACTGGTGAGTACCGGCTCATTTTAGACACACAGAAACATTTTCACAAGGTGCTCGGTCCATTTTTGAGCATACACTCTACACACATAATAGCATTATTAGGCACCACATTAGTGAACACTAGTGGAGACTTAATATGCCACATAAGAGAACCGTTACCTCACACAGTCACAATATCGGTATTGGCAGCAGTCTGAAAAATCAACAAATCAATGAGACCTGCTGACTGGAGTCTTTCCAGTGAGGTTAATGGGTCAAATACTTTAAATTTTCCTGATTGGAAGTAATTTAGCTGTTAATCACAGAGGAAAATAAATCAAGACCGATTTAGTTGGGAACTGAAGTCACTTTAAAACCGCCTGTACAAGGGAGCAGTTAAAACACCCAATTACTGCAAACTAAAATACAACTATAAAACCTGAACCCTATCGTTATATATAAATAATATGTATCGGTGTTATTTGTGCCAAACTTTAAATAATATCTACAGAGTTTCTGTGTGTGGAAACCTCTTGCGATTTCTTACAACAGTATTTTGGCTTGGACTCTTTGATCTTGACTTGGGCGTAACCCTTGACTTGACCAGGCCAGGTTTCTACCAGGGGGTCTCGGCTGCACCTTCACCTCAACTCATACTTCCACTGCAGGTTCTTCTATTTTCCTTTTCCCTGATGCCACAATCCCAGCCAGCCCTCACCAACTCTCCCTCCCTCTCTCCTGCCACAGCTTCAAAGGCCTCCCCTGGGACTCGGACGGTTCCCGGCTCATATGTAAATGCCTCTAAATTAAGTAGCCACAGGACAGAGCGATTCAGATGAAAAGAGCATGAGT